TGTTCTGTTTCGTCATGGGGCGACTCACTACTGAGAATGTGTATATAAGTATTATGAATGGTTGCATGCACTGTGGATGGAAAGTGTTGCTGAGCAGTGTTGTTCGACGTTGATGCAGTTGATAATGTCGATTTTGGTGTGTATGTTGATGTTGGGTGTGTGTTTGTGGAATGGTGCTGTTCAGTGTGGTGTTTGTGTATGTGGCAGTGTTTGATGTGCAAATGGATGGCTGATGGTTTTGTTTGAGTTGCATGGTGGGGACGTGTTGACTGGGCTTGTCTAATTGACTTTGCGCAGTGGCGGTACCGTAGCCAATGAAGTTTATCTGAGGCGCGGTTATTGCTAGTTGAAAACTACTCCCAATACCCCGCACCGATGGCGTGAAATATCGTTGTCGGATGCAATTTTTCTAGGCCGTATCTGGCCCAATTCACACAAAACAGTTACTCATCGCTAACACTCATACACTTGCACGACCACACTGACATACGCCCAAACTGCATCATCATCATCACCGTCATCATCAACAACAACAACAACAGCCATATTTACAGTAACTCCAAAACTGTTATAACTAACACTACTACCATTACTATTATTCTTATCATTATTATTATTATCATCATCATTATTAGTATTATTTTTATCATCATTATTATTAATACTACTAATACTACTATTACTACTGTTACTACTACTACTACTACTTCTACTACTTTTACTTCTACTGTTAGTGATACTGATTCAAATACTACTACTAACATCAACACCAACACAACAACAACAATAACTACTACTAATACTATTACTACAACTGCCGATAATGACAAATATCATACAATCGGAAAATTACAACAGACAATAACACACTCAACTCTCAGTTATGCGCACAACTCTCCTTAGCATTGTTCTCATGCAGCAACAGCAACAACAACAACGCATCATACACTCATCAACAACACAAACCTACATTACCGCATTCAATCGTTGTGTGCTTCGCGTACGAACAGTCGCACGCGCACACACTCACACACACATTCCATGTCACACGTGAACTCGTCGTAACAGTGCAGGTGGAACTGAACACACAGTGTCAGTGCATATCGATGAGAAACCACACATGATGATGACGATCACACTGATCATAAGCATGAAGTTGGTGATAATGTGTGATGTATTTAGGTTAGTGAGTAGAGAGACTAATGCATGTAGTGTGGCAGATCGAACTGAAGTAATTTGGTGTGTTCAAGCATCGACTGAGATACTTATTCGTTGAGCCGCTAACACATTCAGCCTCTCACTCTCTCATCATACATGATTATCTGTGTATATAGGAATTATATAAATAGTTAGATAGATATTTGTACATGGGATTGTGCACAGTGGTGTGGTGATGACTTCATTTGTTGTGTGGGTGTTTATTTTCGCATTACTGTCATGCAGTGAGCGACAATAAGCAACGAAGAGACAATTCTCAGTGAGGTGGTTTGTCAATTGTGGATAGGAGCAATTCACATTTGTGTTTGTGTGTTTGTGTAGATGATTGATGGTGTACAGTGGCTAATTCGCCTGCAGTTGACCGATGTATCATTGTGGTGGTGTTGTTTTAGAGAAGTGATAGTAAAAGTTGAAGAAGTAGTGTTAGAACTGGTGGTGGTGGTAGTAGTAGTAGTGGTAGTAGTAGTAGTAGTAGTAATTGTAGTAGTATTCGAATTAGTGTTGGTGGTTCCGTTGTTCTGTTTCGTCATGGGGCGACTCACTACTGAGAATGTGTATATAAGTAGTATGAATGGTTGCATGCACTGTGGATGGAAAGTGTTGCTGAGCAGTGTTGTTCGACGTTGATGCAGTTGATAATGTCGATTTTGGTGTGTATGTTGATGTTGGGTGTGTGTGTTTGTGGAATGGTGCTGTTCAGTGTGGTGTTTGTGTATGTGGCAGTGTTTGATGTGCAAATGGATGGCTGATGGTTTTGTTTGAGTTGCATGGTGGGGACGTGTTGACTGGGCTTGTCTAATTGACTTTGCGCAGTGGCGGTACCGTAGCCAATGAAGTTTATCTGAGGCGCGGTTATTGCTAGTTGAAAACTACTCCCAATACCCCGCACCGATGGCGTGAAATATCGTTGTCGGATGCAATTTTTCTAGGCCGTATCTGGCCCAATTCACACAAAACAGTTACTCATCGCTAACACTCATACACTTGCACGACCACACTGACATACGCCCAAACTGCATCATCATCATCACCGTCATCATCAACAACAACAACAACAGCCATATTTACAGTAACTCCAAAACTGTTATAACTAACACTACTACCATTACTATTATTCTTATCATTATTATTATTATCATCATCATTATTAGTATTATTTTTATCATCATTATTATTAATACTACTAATACTACTATTACTACTGTTACTACTACTACTACTTCTACTACTTTTACTTCTACTGTTAGTGATACTGATTCAAATACTACTACTAACATCAACACCAACACAACAACAACAATAACTACTACTAATACTATTACTACAACTGCCGATAATGACAAATATCATACAATCGGAAAATTACAACAGACAATAACACACTCAACTCTCAGTTATGCGCACAACTCTCCTTAGCATTGTTCTCATGCAGCAACAGCAACAACAACAACGCATCATACACTCATCAACAACACAAACCTACATTACCGCATTCAATCGTTGTGTGCTTCGCGTACGAACAGTCGCACGCGCACACACTCACACACACATTCCATGTCACACGTGAACTCGTCGTAACAGTGCAGGTGGAACTGAACACACAGTGTCAGTGCATATCGATGAGAAACCACACATGATGATGACGATCACACTGATCATAAGCATGAAGTTGGTGATAATGTGTGATGTATTTAGGTTAGTGAGTAGAGAGACTAATGCATGTAGTGTGGCAGATCGAACTGAAGTAATTTGGTGTGTTCAAGCATCGACTGAGATACTTATTCGTTGAGCCGCTAACACATTCAGCCTCTCACTCTCTCATCATACATGATTATCTGTGTATATAGGAATTATATAAATAGTTAGATAGATATTTGTACATGGGATTGTGCACAGTGGTGTGGTGATGACTTCATTTGTTGTGTGGGTGTTTATTTTCGCATTACTGTCATGCAGTGAGCGACAATAAGCAACGAAGAGACAATTCTCAGTGAGGTGGTTTGTCAATTGTGGATAGGAGCAATTCACATTTGTGTTTGTGTGTTTGTGTAGATGATTGATGGTGTACAGTGGCTAATTCGCCTGCAGTTGACCGATGTATCATTGTGGTGGTGTTGTTTTAGAGAAGTGATAGTAAAAGTTGAAGAAGTAGTGTTAGAACTGGTGGTGGTGGTAGTAGTAGTAGTGGTAGTAGTAGTAGTAGTAGTAGTAGTAGTAGTAGTAGTAGTAGTAGTAGTAGTAGTAGTATTCGAATTAATGTTGGTGGTTTCGTTGTTCTGTTTCGTCATGGGGCGACTCACTACTGAGAATGTGTATATAAGTATTATGAATGGTTGCATGCACTGTGGATGGAAAGTGTTGCTGAGCAGTGTTGTTCGACGTTGATGCAGTTGATAATGTCGATTTTGGTGTGTATGTTGATGTTGGGTGTGTGTGTTTGTGGAATGGTGCTGTTCAGTGTGGTGTTTGTGTATGTGGCAGTGTTTGATGTGCAAATGGATGGCTGATGGTTTTGTTTGAGTTGCATGGTGGGGACGTGTTGACTGGGCTTGTCTAATTGACTTTGCGCAGTGGCGGTACCGTAGCCAATGAAGTTTATCTGAGGCGCGGTTATTGCTAGTTGAAAACTACTCCCAATACCCCGCACCGATGGCGTGAAATATCGTTGTCGGATGCAATTTTTCTAGGCCGTATCTGGCCCAATTCACACAAAACAGTTACTCATCGCTAACACTCATACACTTGCACGACCACACTGACATACGCCCAAACTGCATCATCATCATCACCGTCATCATCAACAACAACAACAACAGCCATATTTACAGTAACTCCAAAACTGTTATAACTAACACTACTACCATTACTATTATTCTTATCATTATTATTATTATCATCATCATTATTAGTATTATTTTTATCATCATTATTATTAATACTACTAATACTACTATTACTACTGTTACTACTACTACTACTTCTACTACTTTTACTTCTACTGTTAGTGATACTGATTCAAATACTACTACTAATATCAACACCAACACAACAACAACAATAACTACTACTAATACTATTACTACAACTGCCGATAATGACAAATATCATACAATCGGAAAATTACAACAGACAATAACACACTCAACTCTCAGTTATGCGCACAACTCTCCTTAGCATTGTTCTCATGCAGCAACAGCAACAACAACAACGCATCATACACTCATCAACAACACAAACCTACATTACCGCATTCAATCGTTGTGTGCTTCGCGTACGAACAGTCGCACGCGCACACACTCACACACACATTCCATGTCACACGTGAACTCGTCGTAACAGTGCAGGTGGAACTGAACACACAGTGTCAGTGCATATCGATGAGAAACCACACATGATGATGACGATCACACTGATCATAAGCATGAAGTTGGTGATAATGTGTGATGTATTTAGGTTAGTGAGTAGAGAGACTAATGCATGTAGTGTGGCAGATCGAACTGAAGTAATTTGGTGTGTTCAAGCATCGACTGAGATACTTATTCGTTGAGCCGCTAACACATTCAGCCTCTCACTCTCTCATCATACATGATTATCTGTGTATATAGGAATTATATAAATAGTTAGATAGATATTTGTACATGGGATTGTGCACAGTGGTGTGGTGATGACTTCATTTGTTGTGTGGGTGTTTATTTTCGCATTACTGTCATGCAGTGAGCGACAATAAGCAACGAAGAGACAATTCTCAGTGAGGTGGTTTGTCAATTGTGGATAGGAGCAATTCACATTTGTGTTTGTGTGTTTGTGTAGATGATTGATGGTGTACAGTGGCTAATTCGCCTGCAGTTGACCGATGTATCATTGTGGTGGTGTTGTTTTAGAGAAGTGATAGTAAAAGTTGAAGAAGTAGTGTTAGAACTGGTGGTGGTGGTAGTAGTAGTAGTGGTAGTAGTAGTAGTAGTAGTAGTAGTAGTAGTAGTAGTAGTAGTAGTAGTAGTAGTAGTAGTAGTAGTAATTGTAGTAGTATTCGAATTAGTGTTGGTGGTTCCGTTGTTCTGTTTCGTCATGGGGCGACTCACTACTGAGAATGTGTATATAAGTAGTATGAATGGTTGCATGCACTGTGGATGGAAAGTGTTGCTGAGCAGTGTTGTTCGACGTTGATGCAGTTGATAATGTCGATTTTGGTGTGTATGTTGATGTTGGGTGTGTGTGTTTGTGGAATGGTGCTGTTCAGTGTGGTGTTTGTGTATGTGGCAGTGTTTGATGTGCAAATGGATGGCTGATGGTTTTGTTTGAGTTGCATGGTGGGGACGTGTTGACTGGGCTTGTCTAATTGACTTTGCGCAGTGGCGGTACCGTAGCCAATGAAGTTTATCTGAGGCGCGGTTATTGCTAGTTGAAAACTACTCCCAATACCCCGCACCGATGGCGTGAAATATCGTTGTCGGATGCAATTTTTCTAGGCCGTATCTGGCCCAATTCACACAAAACAGTTACTCATCGCTAACACTCATACACTTGCACGACCACACTGACATACGCCCAAACTGCATCATCATCATCACCGTCATCATCAACAACAACAACAACAGCCATATTTACAGTAACTCCAAAACTGTTATAACTAACACTACTACCATTACTATTATTCTTATCATTATTATTATTATCATCATCATTATTATTAATACTACTAATACTACTATTACTACTGTTACTACTACTACTACTTCTACTACTTCTACTACTTTTACTTCTACTGTTAGTGATACTGATTCAAATACTACTACTAATATCAACACCAACACAACAACAACAATAACTACTACTAATACTATTACTACAACTGCCGATAATGACAAATATCATACAATCGGAAAATTACAACAGACAATAACACACTCAACTCTCAGTTATGCGCACAACTCTCCTTAGCATTGTTCTCATGCAGCAACAGCAACAACAACAACGCATCATACACTCATCAACAACACAAACCTACATTACCGCATTCAATCGTTGTGTGCTTCGCGTACGAACAGTCGCACGCGCACACACTCACACACACATTCCATGTCACACGTGAACTCGTCGTAACAGTGCAGGTGGAACTGAACACACAGTGTCAGTGCATATCGATGAGAAACCACACATGATGATGACGATCACACTGATCATAAGCATGAAGTTGGTGATAATGTGTGATGTATTTAGGTTAGTGAGTAGAGAGACTAATGCATGTAGTGCGGCAGATCGAACTGAAGTAATTTGGTGTGTTCAAGCATCGACTGAGATACTTATTCGTTGAGCCGCTAACACATTCAGCCTCTCACTCTCTCATCATACATGATTATCTGTGTATATAGGAATTATATAAATAGTTAGATAGATATTTGTACATGGGATTGTGCACAGTGGTGTGGTGATGACTTCATTTGTTGTGTGGGTGTTTATTTTCGCATTACTGTCATGCAGTGAGCGACAATAAGCAACGAAGAGACAATTCTCAGTGAGGTGGTTTGTCAATTGTGGATAGGAGCAATTCACATTTGTGTTTGTGTGTTTGTGTAGATGATTGATGGTGTACAGTGGCTAATTCGCCTGCAGTTGACCGATGTATCATTGTGGTGGTGTTGTTTTAGAGAAGTGATAGTAAAAGTTGAAGAAGTAGTGTTAGAACTGGTGGTGGTGGTAGTAGTAGTAGTGGTAGTAGTAGTAGTAGTAGTAGTAGTAGTAGTAGTAGTAGTAGTAGTAGTAGTAGTAGTAGTAGTAATTGTAGTAGTATTCGAATTAGTGTTGGTGGTTCCGTTGTTCTGTTTCGTCATGGGGCGACTCACTACTGAGAATGTGTATATAAGTAGTATGAATGGTTGCATGCACTGTGGATGGAAAGTGTTGCTGAGCAGTGTTGTTCGACGTTGATGCAGTTGATAATGTCGATTTTGGTGTGTATGTTGATGTTGGGTGTGTGTGTTTGTGGAATGGTGCTGTTCAGTGTGGTGTTTGTGTATGTGGCAGTGTTTGATGTGCAAATGGATGGCTGATGGTTTTGTTTGAGTTGCATGGTGGGGACGTGTTGACTGGGCTTGTCTGATTGACTTTGCGCAGTGGCGGTACCGTAGCCAATGAAGTTTATCTGAGGCGCGGTTATTGCTAGTTGAAAACTACTCCCAATACCCCGCACCGATGGCGTGAAATATCGTTGTCGGATGCAATTTTTCTAGGCCGTATCTGGCCCAATTCACACAAAACAGTTACTCATCGCTAACACTCATACACTTGCACGACCACACTGACATACGCCCAAACTGCATCATCATCATCACCGTCATCATCATCAACAACAACAACAGCCATATTTACAGTAACTCCAAAACTGTTATAACTAACACTACTACCATTACTATTATTCTTATCATTATTATTATTATCATCATCATTATTAGTATTATTATCATTATTATTAATACTACTAATACTACTATTACTACTGTTACTACTACTACTACTTCTACTACTTTTACTTCTACTGTTAGTGATACTGATTCAAATACTACTACTAATATCAACACCAACACAACAACAACAATAACTACTACTAATACTATTACTACAACTGCCGATAATGACAAATATCATACAATCGGAAAATTACAACAGACAATAACACACTCAACTCTCAGTTATGCGCACAACTCTCCTTAGCATTGTTCTCATGCAGCAACAGCAACAACAACAACGCATCATACACTCATCAACAACACAAACCTACATTACCGCATTCAATCGTTGTGTGCTTCGCGTACGAACAGTCGCACGCGCACACACTCACACACACATTCCATGTCACACGTGAACTCGTCGTAACAGTGCAGGTGGAACTGAACACACAGTGTCAGTGCATATCGATGAGAAACCACACATGATGATGACGATCACACTGATCATAAGCATGAAGTTGGTGATAATGTGTGATGTATTTAGGTTAGTGAGTAGAGAGACTAATGCATGTAGTGCGGCAGATCGAACTGAAGTAATTTGGTGTGTTCAAGCATCGACTGAGATACTTATTCGTTGAGCCGCTAACACATTCAGCCTCTCACTCTCTCATCATACATGATTATCTGTGTATATAGGAATTATATAAATAGTTAGATAGATATTTGTACATGGGATTGTGCACAGTGGTGTGGTGATGACTTCATTTGTTGTGTGGGTGTTTATTTTCGCATTACTGTCATGCAGTGAGCGACAATAAGCAACGAAGAGACAATTCTCAGTGAGGTGGTTTGTCAATTGTGGATAGGAGCAATTCACATTTGTGTTTGTGTGTTTGTGTAGATGATTGATGGTGTACAGTGGCTAATTCGCCTGCAGTTGACCGATGTATCATTGTGGTGGTGTTGTTTTAGAGAAGTGATAGTAAAAGTTGAAGAAGTAGTGTTAGAACTGGTGGTGGTGGTAGTAGTAGTAGTGGTAGTAGTAGTAGTAGTAGTAGTAGTAGTAGTAGTAGTAGTAGTAGTAGTAGTAGTAGTAGTAATTGTAGTAGTATTCGAATTACTGTTGGTGGTTTCGTTGTTCTGTTTCGTCATGGGGCGACTCACTACTGAGAATGTGTATATAAGTATTATGAATGGTTGCATGCACTGTGGATGGAAAGTGTTGCTGAGCAGTGTTGTTCGACGTTGATGCAGTTGATAATGTCGATTTTGGTGTGTATGTTGATGTTGGGTGTGTGTGTTTGTGGAATGGTGCTGTTCAGTGTGGTGTTTGTGTATGTGGCAGTGTTTGATGTGCAAATGGATGGCTGATGGTTTTGTTTGAGTTGCATGGTGGGGACGTGTTGACTGGGCTTGTCTAATTGACTTTGCGCAGTGGCGGTACCGTAGCCAATGAAGTTTATCTGAGGCGCGGTTATTGCTAGTTGAAAACTACTCCCAATACCCCGCACCGATGGCGTGAAATATCGTTGTCGGATGCAATTTTTCTAGGCCGTATCTGGCCCAATTCACACAAAACAGTTACTCATCGCTAACACTCATACACTTGCACGACCACACTGACATACGCCCAAACTGCATCATCATCATCACCGTCATCATCATCAACAACAACAACAGCCATATTTACAGTAACTCCAAAACTGTTATAACTAACACTACTACCATTACTATTATTCTTATCATTATTATTATTATCATCATCATTATTATTAATACTACTAATACTACTATTACTACTGTTACTACTACTACTACTTCTACTACTTTTACTTCTACTGTTAGTGATACTGATTCAAATACTACTACTAATATCAACACCAACACAACAACAACAATAACTACTACTAATACTATTACTACAACTGCCGATAATGACAAATATCATACAATCGGAAAATTACAACAGACAATAACACACTCAACTCTCAGTTATGCGCACAACTCTCCTTAGCATTGTTCTCATGCAGCAACAGCAACAACAACAACGCATCATACACTCATCAACAACACAAACCTACATTACCGCATTCAATCGTTGTGTGCTTCGCGTACGAACAGTCGCACGCGCACACACTCACACACACATTCCATGTCACACGTGAACTCGTCGTAACAGTGCAGGTGGAACTGAACACACAGTGTCAGTGCATATCGATGAGAAACCACACATGATGATGACGATCACACTGATCATAAGCATGAAGTTGGTGATAATGTGTGATGTATTTAGGTTAGTGAGTAGAGAGACTAATGCATGTAGTGCGGCAGATCGAACTGAAGTAATTTGGTGTGTTCAAGCATCGACTGAGATACTTATTCGTTGAGCCGCTAACACATTCAGCCTCTCACTCTCTCATCATACATGATTATCTGTGTATATAGGAATTATATAAATAGTTAGATAGATATTTGTACATGGGATTGTGCACAGTGGTGTGGTGATGACTTCATTTGTTGTGTGGGTGTTTATTTTCGCATTACTGTCATGCAGTGAGCGACAATAAGCAACGAAGAGACAATTCTCAGTGAGGTGGTTTGTCAATTGTGGATAGGAGCAATTC